CCGTTTTTTTTTATGGATGAAAAGGCAGCTCTTGAATCTTTTCAGGTTGTTCTTTGTCCAAAATACGGCAATTGGAGTTCTTTCCAGTCTTTCCATTTCAAAACACACATTGAAAAACGGCTACATTGGGCACAAGGAAATACCAACCGTTATTGCAGCAATATAATATTTACAGTTGAGGTAACTCTTACATTGTTCAACCCCTGAAGGCTTGTTTGGCTAAGAAAAGGTAAAACATTTATTTAAAGGACTGATAAGCACCCCTAAACCGTGCATGTTTATGAATGCGTCGATGCTCATTGATTTGGGGTTTTGAGATGCTTAATGCAGTTATAAATGATAAAATTATATAAAAGGGTTTATAGGATTGATAGGACACTGCAAGAAGCAAAATCATATTGCTACTCTAAATTAACTATCCCAGTAAAAAAACCAAAATATCAAGGAAACCTTTAAGGGGGTATTCTACTCTAGAAATCAAATTTTGTGCAGTTTTTTTAATTTTATTTAAAAAAAAACCAAAAAATATTTTTAGTTTCCATTTTTTAAGGTGTTTTTTGTTGATATCTTAAGAATACAGAAAAAAATTTAAAAAAAATATTAAAAATTAAAATAATTAGAGGGGGGAGCGCATCCTGGTGACATTTATCCTGACTGTGGTGGTCTGAAAAAAAAAATCAAAAGAAGTTCTTAATCAGTAAGGATTCTGTTATAGTCCCTATCTCAGGGAACATAATTTTTTTTTGTTTTGAAAAATGGCGACTGCCTGAAAATAAAAATCATTTTTTACACCTTTTTTTTGAAATTCCTGAATTTTTTTGAAATTTTAAAAACACAAATTTTGACACGATGCTGGTAGGAACGATAAAGGATTATATAAAGAAGGTTCACACAAAATTTCATGTAAATCATTTGTATCGATCGTGAGATAATACCGGTACCGTGTGGAAAAAAGTAGTTTCGAGAAAAACGCGTTTAAAAAAGTGAGTCAAATTTCAGGCAGTCTAAGTCATTTATTAGTGCGCTAGGTGCTGCGTCACAAAAGTAACTGTAGCTGTTAAAAACATTTCAATTTTTAAAAATCCTTTGGAGGATATGTTCTTAAGGGTCTAAACTTTAAATATATGAAAAAATTGAATTTCTCAAAATTCTAGAGTAGAAAACCCCCTTAACGTCAACGACAGATTTCCTTCGGCGGCAACTTCTAACTGTGGGCAATAGATAATAAAAGTTTTTAATATAAATTCGCATGAAAACCTATTTGTTGACATATTCCTTTTTAAGTTAGTATGACTGTCATTGACATCTCTGCCAAATGTCACATCAAAACAATCATTAGTATTTAGTATTCGCTTGCCTTTCTAAAATAGCTACAGCGCATTAGTCGAGTTTTGCTCATAAAGTATGTTCGTCACATTTTGGTTTTATTTGCTTTTCTTCGAACAATTGGCTAATTTATAGCAGTAAACAAGAAAACAGCATTAGGACAGCATTACTAAATTTTATGGGCTCGGGCATTTAGTGGAACGCCAAATGATTTCTTGGAAAATAATCAAAACGTTAAGTGTTTACCATATCTAAATCTTAAAAATCTTAAAAAATAAAAAATTTAGACAAATTCCACTTGTGAATTTAGATCTTTTTTTGAAACAAGAATTTTGAATATTTTCTAAAATTATCATAAATATGGTTCTGTTTCTGAGAAAGATAAAATAAATATTTAAGCACGTAAATCCGATGTATATTTATGTGTATATGTACATATGTATAAAATACCAAACATAAATTCCTACATCCATATATGTACATAACCATTTGCACATGTTTGCGCACACCAAAACTTGTCACAAAACAGGGGTACTCATTTTGGGGTATAGTAGTTATATTCGAAGGAAAGAATTTAAACCACAAGTAAAAAACTTAAATTTAATATTTAATTCCCAGAAAATAAGCTATTATAAATCAATGATATTATAATACACAGACATACAAAAAAACAACATATATTAGTTTGTCAAAAAAGTCTTGCAGTATTTTTGCGATATTTTTATTGAATTTGCAATTGTTCATAACATTTTTTTTTGATGACTCATGCCCAGCTCTTGACCGATGCTACGGCTGCTACTATGCCGGTCTCTTTCGACCAATGCAGCGATATTATCGCAATTTTCGACGACAGGCCTTCCAGAGCGTGACACATCTTCGACCCACGTGTTAGTAAAAAGGTATAACATGACCCGATGCGACGAATAAAACTAGAACAACGCGCTCTCAGCGCCAACTAGGGAGAATACCGCAAGACTTTTTTTGACAACCTAATATGTATACAGTTGAATTTCCATAAGTCGACGATAGATAGATGGGAATTAATTAAAGTTTTGCACTGCGACCTATCGTATAGTGTGCCCTCTTCTATATCACACACATAGTAACAAAGGTCTAGCAGTCTGAAAAATTCCAGGTGCTTGCTGGGCGCGATGGCGGTGATGTGATACCTGTCCACGTAGATGGATCCAAGCTCTCCATAACTCGAACTCTTGAATTGACCATAGAAGTCAAATTTCATACGAATTTCGTTCCATAAATCGAACTTTTAAATTAGCACCTCATCTTCTAAGTCATATTTTTCGAAGAAAATCCACTTTGTAAACTGCAGCTTACTTAGAAGTGAAAAATACAGTTTGTGTAAGAACTGAAGCCACTCGACCTTCCCAAAGGACATCGCTCCGCTTTATAAACTCTTGAAAAGTTCCAAGAATATCCGACGTTTTCAGGCCCATTTATGGCTCAATAGGTATGTAAACAAGCAAAATTGCCACATTTGAGAGGAAGAGCAACCTGCAGAAATTCAAGAGCTGTCATTTCATCAAGAAAAAACAACGGTTCGGTGTAGTTTTTGGGCCGGTTCAAAAATTTTGCCGGTTAGAACATAACCGTCAATGACGACCGTTATCGCGCCATGACAACCGACTATTTGATACCTGAAATTGAAGCTCTTGATCTCGATGACATTTGGTTTCAACAAGACAGCGGATTTATTGAGAGAACACTTCGGTGAGCAGATCATGTCATATCACACCGTTAGACTTTTTCCTGCGTGGATAAGTAAAGTCTAAAGTCGGATAATCTCGCTTCAACTCAGGTCTTGAGGTAAAACATTCCGCGTACCATTCGCGAGTTACCAGTCGAAATGCTTGAACCGGTGATCGAAAATTGGACTCAACGGATGGAACATCCGACAAGTAGCCGCGGCCAATATTTGAAAGAGATAATCTTCAAAAAAATAAATGCCAAAGAATGTTCTTTCCACTGAAACATGCAAGCAAAAAATGTATGATTAGCCAAAAATTATAGAATAAATATTTTATGTACATAGACGAATTAAAATCGAAGGCCGAATCGAAAAAGCGCATATCTTGACTGACAACGAAATAAACAGCCCATGCAAAAACCATATGTTCCGTGGTGATGGCTGACGTCAGCTCACACCCTGGCATGGGTGTACTAGGAGTTGAGCACTTTAGAATTTTATGTTTTTTTTCGACATACACAACTTTTAGAAGAAATTAATTTTGATTTAAAGTGTTGGCACCCAGTAGAAAAGTCTTCTTCAATAGAAACAAATTTCTATATTTTTGTTTCGATTTCGTTGGCCTGGCATTTTCTGTTAATGTCCGTCAAAGAAATTTGCCGCTAGTAAAACTTGTAACTTAGATATTCACGTCAACTTTATATTTGTTGAACTCTCTTTTTTCTTGTTTGTTATCAAGTTAGACATCAGAAAGCCGTCAACCACTTTAACTGCTCTAAAATCGAGTCAGTTTCAGACCTGTTAATTACCAAACGGCGCTATGCCGGCTTACTGCATCCAATCATCATATCGCCAGATGACTCAGTGATTTGCCATGAACTCTGAAATATTTCTGCTTCTACTGTCTGCAATCATGAAAAAAAAAAATTATTATCTCCACAGACGATAAAAATTTCAATTAAAGCAAATGAAATATTTATGCACAAACATTGAAAATTTATCTTTTTAAATGTGGATGCATTACAGTAATGTACCATTAATCTCGGTTTTATGTAATTCAGTATGTCGAATTTTTACAAATAAACTTTTGTTTTCTAACTAAGTATAGAAAAGATCGTGGATTGTGAAATAAGATCCAAGACACTGAACTCTCGCATGCGAACCAGCATACTTGCAGAGCAGGCAGATCAGCTAATACTGTTGTATACCAGCTAACCTCGGGATACAGAGTTCGCTGGAAGGAAGGAAAGTAATATTATGCGCCTTCCTTTCATAGACATTGAAGGTGCTTTTGACAACACGGCTCACAGGAGCGTAAAAAAGGGAATGTGAGAGCACCGGTGCTTAGTGGATAGAGGACGTACTACCCACCAGAATAGCTGAGACCACAATAGAGGATGCCAGGATTCGTCTGCGCATTACAAGAGGCTGTCCACAGGGCGGATTGCTATTTCCCTATTATGGAGCCTTGTCGTGGACGGCATACTAGTTCTGTATAAGATAATTTCACGTTTTGTGCCGGACGATTGGCCACCAAGATACCACCGTTAGACTCTTTCCTGTGGGGATATGTAAAGTGTAAAGTATGCGCCCAAAACCTCGCTTCAATTCAGGCTTTGGAGCAAAACATCACGCGTGTCATGCGCCTATTTGCTCGAACGAGTCATCGAAAATTGAACCCAACGGATTGATCAACTGAGACGTAGCCGCGGCCAGATATTTAAAGAGATAATCTTCAAAAAATAAATGCCGAAAGTCCTTTCTAATGACAATAAGCATTCTCCATTAAATTTCTTTGGAAAAGTAGAGAGCCTCGATATGGTGTTCAAGCCATCATCTTCAAATAAGTTAACGAAGCCACGGATAAGATCCGATTATATATATTAAACGCTGAACATAAGCGAATACACCACAGCCAAAATTGAATTTTACTTAAACCTTAAGACCTCTTCACAATATAATCAGTCGCTCAGCGTTCGTACATTTGACGCAGTACAGCGATGAAGCTGTAGGCCTTGCTCAGTACGTTCGTAAAACTAGGCAATGACAAGTCAACGAAACCACCGCCAGTAAAATTAAACGGTTGTTGCGCGTTAAGCTGGAAAATTGCGAGTGACTTTCGAAATCGTTGATCAAAGTGATACCAAGACGATCCATAACCATGAGTTGCGAGAGTTTTATTCTACAAAGAGCAAATTAAAGAGCAAAAATAATCATAAGAAATACTTTGAAATGGGACTTAAAAATTATGCACAAGCCCACCTGTTCATTGACCTCATTGCCGAACCAACAATAGCCGAACAGCTGAGTAAAAATGCAAAAGCAATAAAAATATATTATCATCTCGCTGTTTGAGTTACTGGAGTTCATAGTCGCCTGAAAGCCCGTCACCGCAGATATAACCAAAGAGGTGAAGAATTGCAGCAATATGGAAAGGCGAAAGATATGTTCAACGTCATCACGCACGCTGAAGGCAAAAGAGGGTAAAAGGAGAAAGAAAGAAAATCGTTGATATGCAATATTACAATGCGTAAGAACCAGCTGAGAGAGAGTTAGGACAAAACGCGAATGTGACGTCAGCAAACAGCTGTTACTGTCCAAATAGCCTAAAGTAAATTTAAAATATTTCATTCTACTCACGACTTTAGTATGCAATGATGCTCCACAATGTCAGTCATTCGTGCATTGGGATCACGTATACGCCTCATATCTCTTCTCATGTGGCATTCATCCAAAATAAGATCATCAAAAGTGGATTTGATGATATTCAAATGGCAACGTAGTAAATTCATCATGCTTATATTTAAGTAATCAACCGTGACAATTTGAACGGCGAACATGAAGTCAGTGACACCTATATAGACCACCTGCAAGAAGAAGGGCAACCAAGCGGGCATTGTAACACGATATGGAAATATTTGACCAGCCATATCGGGATCTGGAAAAAATAACAAAGAACTGATATACTCTTTAAAATATACGCACACGGAAATATAAGCAGCGTTGCGAACTGATTTCAAAACTTAAACTTAAAAAATCATCTCATGATGTATCCAAGCTGTTTCGACGGTATTTTCACACAAAAATTGGCTTTAAGAAGAATATGCTTAAAGTATTATAGCGATAGGTTGAGGGTTCATTGCTGCATGTATTGTTTAGCATTTCATCATGGAAAAACTTACGCCTGAACAAGGCTTACCCTTAAACTTTCTAACGAAAATTCAATTTCTGTAAAGAATGTGTTTTGCGCACTTCGCTCAACATATGATCAACATAATTGGCTTGCTGAGCGGCACCATCAACCCCCATCATCCATCTTGGGACCCACCATTTATTGTTGGATAATATTCGACAACATTGACCACTTCCAGCATACGGTGAGGAAAATATAGCAGCCGTAGCTGAGAGTGTACACGAAGACCGTGAAGAGTCAATTCGGCGCTGTCTGCAGCAAAGGACTGACGCATGGAACGACTTGGCGCATTTTACGTCGAGATCTTAAATTGAAAGCGTACAAAACATATCTTCTGTAAGAACTAAAGCCGCTGCAATTCCCAAACCGCATCGTTTCGCTCTATGTGTTCTTGAAAAGTTCCAAAAAGATCCGACGTTTTCGAACCAATTTTTGTTTAGCGATGATTCCCATTTCTGGCTCATTCTGGATATGTAAGCAAGCAAAATTGCCGCATTTGGGACGAAGAGCAACCTGAAGGGATTCAAGAGCTGTCATTTCATTCAGAAAAAACAACGATTTGGTGTGGTTTGTAATCGGTGGAATCATCGGTCTATATTTCTTCAAAAATGATGGCGGTGAAAACGTAACGATCAATGGCAACCATTATCACGCCTTGATAAACGACTATTTGATACCTGAAATTGAAGCTCGTCATCTCGACGACATTTGGTATCAACAAGACGGCGTCACTTCTCACACATCGCAGTAATCGATTGAGAGAAAAAGTAGGGAGGCGCGAAATGGATCACCCTTTAGTTTAAACGCATGTAAATTGTATAGAACTTAATCAAGAATATTTCGAAAAACAATTAAACGATTTTCTCTGATTAATATTAGTTTTTGTTCTCCAATCCCGATACACAAAAGGCTAGCCATGTATATAATTTTTTCAGCATATTATATGAATGCATCGAGAAAAGCTGTGTTGGCAAAACTGCTTAAATACATAATTTGCAATGAAGGAATTATTTTCTTACTTATAAAAACTGAAACCATCGCCACGAACCCGGTGAATCCAACTACGGTGGCATAAATGACGAGAAAGAGCTTGTTTTCCATCTCAGCGCGAGCGAATATCTTGTGCTAACGTAAAGAGGTTATATGAAAAATATTTGTATATATTTATAAACATTATTATTCCAAGTATTTTAGTTGGAACACATTAACACGGGCTGGGGCATGTAAGCAATCTAACTCCAGCCTGTGTCTGTAACTTCATACTGATCTCTTCAGATCGTTTGACTTTCAGCACTTATTCAGCTTGAGAAATTAAAAGCTGAATAAAGCGCTGAATCTCAAAGCAAATGGAGAGATAAGTCTAGCCTTGCACTCATACCTGCGCATCTGTTTTAATGTACGACTTCGTAGCGCGTTTCAGCTTCAAAATGGCTCCCTGCAGAGTTCTCAAGTGGAACAATACGTTATAAATCTGCAAAAAATGCGCGACTTCACATTGATAACAGAAAATGTAAGTACGTATAAGGCAAAAACCTTCAAGGCGCCAGCGAAATGCGACATTGTCAGACAGAAGTTTTGTGTGAACGAATAGAAATCCGGCCAACAGATATACAAATCATAGAACTCGAAAAGAATGTAGAAGAAATTTGTCAAAGTCAAAAAACTACCGTAGGCCAGCAATAATCCATTCACAAGCCGTGTTCGGTGTAGCGGCACAAACCATGGCGATAACGGTACACCCGATATTTGTGACAACCAAATATTAAATTCAATGGAACCAAGTTGCCCTTTGCCTGCTTCGGAGGGGAATACACGAAAGTACACTTCTTTTAATATGTCTTGAAATGCAGCCATTTTACTTGACACTTTCGAAACACACACCAAAATGGTAGCGCGCCTCAGAGTATGCTTACATTTATAGCAATTATTTTGTTGTCACTTATGTTTGAGACTAATTATTAGGTACCAATTTAAGGCGTTAAAGAGTCAAAAGCTTTTTGCTGGTATTAACTTAATTAATTAATAACAGGTGTCGCTAAAAACGTCTCGATTGCTCCGTTAATGAATTAATTACTTTAAACGGAGCCTTTTTAACGTAGTCAGATTGGCCTCTGTCAACAAACTGTTTTATATTTTTAACAATTGTGAACATCGGCTAATTTACCTGCATCTACTGAAGGATTCGTGCGTTAGCTTTGGGTGGTCTGTATCTGTAGCCACAATTATTATTAAGATGGACCTCTTAACTTAACACTCTCCTAGGGATAGTTATAATTTCTTATATTTGTATAAAGAATTATGAGGATGGCCTCAGAGAAAATATTGCCTTCCGAATCGAGGCGGTCGTTACTAAATATCTTCTTCTTCTTTATTGTCTTACGCGATTATAGTCGAGTTTACAACAGCGCGCCAGTCGTTCTTTCTTTTCCAAGTGTAGACAGGTCCTTCTTCACATAGTCTTTCCAGCGGAGTGGAGGTCTTTCTCTTCCTCTGCTTCCCACTGTGAATACTGTCTGAGCTGGTGTATTTTTGTGCATTCGGACGACATGACCTCGACCGTAATATTTGCCGTTGTCAATGCTCAAAGGACCATAAATCTTTCCTAAAACTTTTCTCGCAAACACTACTAAGGCCGACTCATCAGAATGGCGCCATATGTATAAAAATGACTTAGGAGCGGCCAGAACGATTCTTTTGCATATGGCTCGAGCAGCTCACAGCTTCCAATCTTAAATCTTTCCCCTGGGAAGCTAAAAAACATCCTTTTGAAGGCGAGCTAAAGTGAGAAGGCGAAACATTTCTTCTCAGGATTCTGTGCAGGGTTTGGAACCCGAAACGTACATATAAAACACCCCCAATGAAAAGAATAAAACAACTTTGGTATCAAAGCATTTTTTTCCTCAAATAATAACTCCAGACTGAACTCAAACATGTAAGGCTCTGCTAGATATCTATCGAATCAATATTTTCACATTATCGAGTTATTATTGTACGTTTTTAGGTATTTTTTTCACACTTGTTATGTCAATTATATCTATAAATAAATTAATTACATCAATTATTGCCTTACCTATAGTTATTTAAAATGTCGATAGAATCATTCATGAGAGAAGTTTCTATTTACTATGTACATACATATATTAGGTTGTCACAAAAGTCTTGTATTCGGTATTTTGGCTAGTTGGCGCTGAGAGCGCGTAGTTCTAGTTTTATTCGTCCCATCGGGTCATGTTATACCTTTTCGGAAAGCTCATTTCACGC